GGATACATTATTTTTCCTCAGTTGTTTTTGTTCAATATTTCGTACAAGTAAAGCCAAATCTCCCGACACAAAGCCTTGTGTGCGTTTTGCAACCAAATCCAAAAGTTCTGCATCGATTTTCGCATGATTAAAAAACATTATTTTCTGACTGTTTTCAAACATTGCTTCGAACAACCTTCTACGCGCTTGTTCGTTCGGCCAATCAATAGTGATTTCATGTTGAAAACGTCCTGGACGACGTGCGCTACCATTTATAGCGCATGGGTCAGATGTGGTAGCAATACAAAAAATGCCAGCACGAGTATTATGGAGGTCATCTAGTAATTTAAGCAATTGCGCGCAGATTCTGTTTGAATTTGCAGCATCTGCGGTGGTCGTACGATTGTTTGGCGCAGGACACAGAAGTTCAAGATTTTCTATGATGATAACCGTAGGATCTGAAAAATTAAATTTTGATATTTCAGTTACATTTTATAGTCATATGATTGTAAGTCAGATGTGTACGTTATATTTTACATACCCTTAGGCTTTAGATTGCTTTGTAAGTGTAATGCATTATCGAACATTTTACGTAATGATGCTTCGGTCTCACCAGCATATTGTTGTAAATCTGTGCCAATATGAAAGCAATTAAAATTGTACTTGACCAAAAATGCATTTACCAGCGATGTTTTCCCACAACCAGGCGGTCCGCAGAGTAGTACGTTTAATTGAGGCTTAATACCATTCGTATTTTTTTGATTATTTCCTAGCTTCGAAGCAGCAACTAAATCCTCCAGTTCATTCCAGGCTAACTCATAACCATGTTTGAAAAATGGTGGTGGGCCATATACATTCGGTTTTGTGCCAATATGAAAATCTCTAATATGAACTTTAGTGTTACTATCCAACTGGAAAATTGCATTTTCATCTGCATTAGAACAAGAATCAATGTAGATGGCAGATATACCCAATCGTGCAGCGTCTGCAGTGCGAACAGCACATCCCACCGACAAGTATAGCGAAGCTAAGATCTGCTTTGCGGTTATGGATAATATATTTGGAAGCGATTTACGAAGACGGCTGTTGAAAAAGTTCGCCGTTAGTTCCAGCGAGATCTCAACGTGTTCTATACAATACGTTTTAATTGATATTATGTTTATTAATCTGTCCTCGATTTCTACACTGACAAACGTGCCTACAATATTGTCCATGTAACAACATTTCGCTTCGATATCACGCGGGTAAACCTGACATATTGAAAACCCGTGGGTACTCCTTTTTGCCACTGTGCATTTCACCCAATCCCCTGGATGGAAACCGCTTGCTTTAAATATTTCTTTGGGAAGTAAACACTTTTGATAAACATTGTTCTCTATTAACTCTAGCGGTAGCGTGCATAAATTGAGGCTGGTATTAGATTGCATTTGTATCTGAGCTTCGGTGTACTTAAAAAATTTCCCAATTGAAAACGTTGTTCTTTTTCGTATCATGCGTTGCTCAACGAGGAAAACAAAATGTTTTGTTTACATTCGTAATGTCAGAAACACCTGTTAACAGTGTTGCCAAATGTCAATCTCCTGATACAAACTTCGAATCATGACGAGACACTTCAAATATTTAGACGCAAGTGCTGCGCTGGCGCTTTATTTAAAGGCGTCAAATTGTATCCTATTGCAACCCTGGTTTACATAAGGGAGATAGCTAGCTTCGCGTCATCTTTCTTTTCACTCGTCCACCATTGCTGAGTTTGTCAAAGAAAGAAGAAAATTATCCATCGTTCTTGAGGTATATGCAAATTTTATTCCACGTCGAATTGTGAAAATCAATAAATAAAATATTAAATAATTGCACAAATTCTTCATAAAACTTTACTTTTGCAGTTCTTCGTACATAACATATAAAAAGAGGTAAGAAAATGCAGTAATTTCAATTGCACAGCCGTGAAAAAGACGGCTGAGTTTCTAATTTTCATTTTTCTTTTCCCCGCATTCGTGTTGCGTATAGTCACAGAAACCCAGCCATTGACTTCAGCATAAGCGCTGGCAGAGCAAACCAAGGAAAACAAATGAAAATTATGGCTGACTTGGACGCAGTGCACCTGGGCTTGGATGAAAATGAAGCAGATATTGCCGAGGAACTGCAAGATTTCGATGACTCCTTCGATACGCGGAGTGAGGCGTCTGAATCAGGTTCGGAGTCGTCGGACTCCCAGCCAAGTATTAGTTCAGTTAGCTCGGTAGCGTCGTCTGTCGCTGACAAGCGCAAGACCAAGATAAAGAAGAAAGTAATTAAGGAAAGTGAAAAGAAAGTAGGTACGAAGCGTTCTTCGTCGCCAGGTGGCGGAGCAATGAATGGCAAGAATATTGCGAGTGGTGGGAAGAAAAAACGAAGTACCGCAGATGCGTCGCATAAAGATGCCGAATCATCAGGTAAAGCTGCAGAAAGTAAAGCTAGTAGCAGCAAAGAGAAGAAGCTTCAGAAAAAGGCAAGCAGCAGTGCAAGCAAAAACTCTTCCGCTACAGCAGCCAACAGCAATGGCCCGGCAAATACAAGCAGTGGTTCAATATCAGCTCATGCAAACACCAGCGGCAATAAGAGCGAGGCTAGCGATGCTGAAGACAAGACAACATCGAAGACACCTTTCGATAGTGATTCAGAATCGGAAGATTCCGATTCAGCAGCAAATATAAAACGTAATGGACGAAAGGCGATCTCTAAGAGCGCTTCACCAGAAAAGAAGACACAAGGTGGAACTAATGCTAGTGGAAAATCTTACGATTATATGACTAAACTGAACTACTTATTCCGTGGTACTCACTTCTTCCTAATTAAATCAAATAATGCAGATAATGTGGCCATTGCAAAATCCAAAAATGTATGGGCCACATTACCCCAAAATGAAGCAAATCTTAATCAGGCATTCAAGGAGTCGCGCAATGTTTTGCTAATCTTCTCCGTCAACGAGAGTGGTGAGTCATATTTCTGGTTTTACGTTTATTGTTAATATATTTTTCTTGAGTTTTGTTGTTAATATTTGCATACATATAGGTATACATATGCATGTATGTTCGTTGCATGTAATGACATACATGTACATATAGCGAAGTCTGTCAAAGTCATTGAACCGGCTTGCACTATGCAATGATCTTTAAATCGGTATTCTGCGATAGACAGTAGAGAAAAAATAATTTGTGTTTATAATTTTATCTACAAAATATATAAGTACAATATACTAAAATATTTTTTCTTTATACTTAGGCAAATTTGCCGGGTTTGCTCGCATGAGTGCACAATCGCGGCGGGACCTTTCGCATCCTGCTTGGGTATTACCACCTAGTATTTCACCTAAGGCCTTGGGCGGTATAATTGAGCTCGATTGGATTTGCCGCAAGGAGCTTTCATTCAACTGCACTTCACATCTGTACAATACTTGGAATGAAAGCAAGCCGGTGAAAATTGGGCGTGATGGTCAGGAAATTGAACCTAAAGTCGGTTCGGAACTGTGTCGTTTGTTCCCAGAAGATGAAAAAATCGAAATGACGCCCATATTACGAAAATCCAAAGAGACTGCTAAAATGATGCGTGAGAAGGGTATACGTGTTTCCTATCGTCCACCGCGAAGCTTATCGTCACGTGGCAGCCGTGGTGGAGGTGGTGGCAGCAGAGCTTACTCGGGCTTTCATCAAGGGGATCGTCGTGCTGGTGGTGGTGGTGGTGGCGGTGGTCCAATGCGACACCGCCGAACATTTAGCTCAGGGCCACATCGTCCTTACAAACTACCACCTATTGGAATGCCACCTGGAGGTGGTTTTAAACGCTCTTCTTCGCCATATCGTAGCGGTGGAGGCCTTCACCCAGGCGGTGGTGGGGGCTCACGCGCAGGTGGCGGCGATGCAGGCTTGCCATCATGGGATCGTTACATGAATTCTGCCGAAGCATATATGGTGGATTACATGCGTTCCATGCATGGACAGCTTCCACCGTTGCCATTCGTTCCACCTTTTGCGCAACTTCCACTCTCTGCTTCCGGTTCAGGCGCTTTACCACCGCCCGGACCACCGTCGATGTATGATCAGCTACCGCCACCAGTGCGTTACTACGATGGACCACCACTGCCCGATTACCCGCCGCCTCAACCGATCAGGCCTCCACCGCCTGGTTTTGACAAAGCACCATCTTATGAGGATTTCGCAGCTTGGAAGAATGCAGGCCTACCAACGTTACCAGAGGGCATGCCGCCAGGCTTTCCAAGCTTTGGAAGTAGCGCTGGAGCATCATCACCCAACGGTGGAAGCACTGGTATTGGGGGCTCAAGCTCTACAGCAGGTGGTGGCAGTTTTTTCAAGTTCCGCCAACAATATGGGCGCAGGCACAAATAACAACGGTGCCAACAGTTTTCGCAGCAGCAGTCAACGAACTAACAATTCAAATATGATGCGTCCACGTGAAAGAGCCGGCGTCCGGGAATATCGTGGACCCAGCGGCGGCATAAGTGGCGGCTCAGGTTCCCGTAGCGCTGGTAATGATAGACATTTCCGCGCAGGTGGTGGCAGTAGCGCCGGTGCTCGTAATTATCGCGATGGCAGACGCTAAGACAGCGATGTGAAAATAAATTAAATATTAAAATACACAAATAAAGGTGTATAGTGCAGCATATGCAGTCCAGACGACTGCGTTGCAAGCCTCCTCCCACTGTGTATGAGAAGCAAATCAAACAAAGCTCGTAAGATTGAAGGTTTAAAGCCAAGTGTAAAAGAAAAAAAAGAGTGCGTAAAGATAACTGAATATTATATGATGAACAAATATCCTAAAAAGTAACCGCTTAAAAAGCACGCTGTAACCTCTTCGTGTTCGAACTTTGCAATTGAGAAAAAAAAAATGTGGTGTGAGAAAACGCGTGAGTAGATATATTTTATTCAATGTGTGGCAACTAAAATCTTAAATGGTATTTTCTTCAACTCCACCTCGATATTGGAAGTGTTTACAATTTTGGGCAAATAATTAAAAATTCATAATGGGGGATAAGTGTTCCCTCGTAAAAAAGTGTTACAATATCCTAATCCTCCAAACAAAAACCAATTGTTGTAAACATCGAACGAAGCATAGAAATGGCGTATATGTTTATCCATGTTAATATTAGACGAAACATCAATTTCCAGGATTAAGTCAACATCAAAAATTAAGACTTCAATTTATAATTGGGACTACAAGCACAGGGACTTAAATACTTGAACTTATTTTTTAAGAAACACGTCTTTGACTTCTGGTACCCTTTTCGTCTTTCTATCTCGAATGTTAAGCTTGTTGAGAAATTAAAAAGATAAAGCTACGCACACATAGATACTAAGAAAGTAAAGTCCTTTCTTGTTCAAATTCTGTTTTTGACATTTGTTTTATAAAATATCGACTTGCAGTCCCAAATTATACAAATGTATTACTTCAGTTTTTCGTTGCATCAATTACACATAAAAAGATGAATGACTAAAGTTAATTTTAAAAGTAGTACTACATACTTACATTATTAAATTATAATTACACTGCGTCGCGCGTATGCAGCGTTATCATGGTAGAAGGAATGAAAGTTGACAAACTCTTTCGATTATAAATACATGCATATACCTACATACATATATAATTTTAAATAATAGTTAATAATTATACGTATCGTAAAATATAAAAACCAACACATATGTGAACTTTATTTGCTAAACGAAGGCGGAGAGGTTGCAATAAATAATGTTTTCCCTCTTAGAGGGAAACATACGAACTGTTGTGAAAATATGGACTGTTTTGACCGGTTTAATAAAAAGACGCTTACCCAGCTTCCATTCCTCTTGAAATTGTCTGAATTATCAGCTTTCCCCAAAAAAAAAAAGAAAGAAAAAAGAATTATAATGAGTGCTCAATCAAGATAAATCATTGCATTAAACTCAATGAAAATTTATAGAAAAAAGAAGCAAAGTGTGTGCAGTGTATTAAATCCAAGCAATCAACAAGATATACAAAGATGACAAAAATTCAGCAAGAAAATCCTTAAAGTGGCAAAAAAGTGTTTGTGTTGAGAAAATTATCAATATGTTGCCATTTAAACCTTGTTCTGCTGAAGGCATTTCCGGATTTTAAAAATCTGTTGGGACTTCACCATTCAAAAAACTATCCTCTTCTTCAAATTTAATTGAAGGAGTTAATCACACCCCCTGAACTTACCAATAAGAACATTTTCGCTTGTGTTTAAACAACATAAAAAATGGACTGCTCAAAATGATGATTATACGAAAAATTTCGTATGCTATTTCACCAGTGCATCAGTTTGACTTTTGGGATTCGAGCTTAAGCGCTCTTGAGTCCCATATAGTTCTCGCATTGCTTTCAGCACATACCGCACCATAAACCATAAAGCCTAAGAAATCTATTTATGCTTTCTAATTAAATTAATTCTTGTCTTTCAGACCTTGCTGACTTCTTATGGAAATAGCTGTTTGACATTTAGCACTCGTGTATCCTGCATTGTGCAGCAAAGATTCGAAATGAACGTCAACTATGAATGTACATTTGCAAATGGGACGGAATATTTCGTAGCTGGATGTCTGAGGTAAACTGTATTTGTTCTAGTGTTGGTAAACTATTGCTGCGGAATCTTCGCACAACTCTTGAGAAAATGACACTAGCAGCATCCTTAACCAAGAAGGCTGTTTAGAGGGAAGCCCAAATTTTACTTTTGCAATGGGCAGTTACAGGGGCAGAACTCAGCGTTATGATTAAAACATTCCGTTAGACTACCGAAAATTCGCAGGTAAACCGACATAAGTGGAAAAGGTGGGAAGAGCATTTGATGAACAACCTCGCCTCTGGTGGGTGTAAGTTTGCGAAAACGCTGAAATCGCGAAACGCGATGATGAAAAAACCTGAGCTATTCTGGGTAGCAGTTCACACTGCGTTCTTTGGTGGATCAACCCAGACGTCGAGTGACTAGAAGATAGCACAACATCGGAAAGCCTAGTGCGTTCCTACCTTTCTCAATCGATTAAGTTCATGTGGCCATAGGGAAGGCCCGACGAACTATGGGGGTAGATACTGTTAACACTTTGGTTTTGGGGTGAGAATAAGTGTAAAAACACTTAAAACTTGCCCATACTTTGTCTGCAACCTACAGCTATTCCCGTACCTTAGGTGCAACCTGACCCTCGCCACGCAACAACATGGCTTCCGTAAAGTAAACAACACCATTATTTCATAGTAGCGTTGGAATGTCAAAATATTCGACACTTGCACTCCCAAAGGGCTTAAAATGTCGAGAGTACTTTTTGGAGATCAAACCTTGAAACCTAGAATTATTAAGCAAGGGCCCGTCAGGGTGAAACCTTTTCTTATTACTGTTTAACTTCTACACCCACAAGATTGCTCACCCGCCATAGAGTTTCAGTGATCTCACGACTTCTCGGTATTGGCATCCAGCAATGAAATTGATGACTTGTGTTTGTCTTTTATTCACTTATCCTGCCCGCTGCAAAATTCACAAAGACGGATAATAAAAAGTGGTTGCATACTGTAAGGAACTTGCTGGAACAGGACACCGCATAGATACATCATGAACGAGATCCAGATTTACGTCGCACAACCACCTGCTCAATAATGGGTTGAATATTGTAGCAGGCTAAACTTGTACTTATCCAGGATCTACTCCCCTATATCCAATATATGTCCGGTTTTTAGCCTTCACAAGACAGACACTACTCTTCTATTGCCCACTCAGCTAAAAACCTTTTAACTTTGATCCGACTCTGTAGAAAGAGCACGTCAGCCAAGGACAATCACTCCTTTACTCGATTGTAATTGGAGACAACGTATTGCCGATATTCTTCTGCCATACGTGTATGTTTCCTCCATCTATATTATCTTGATGGGCAAGTATTCAGGATATAATGAATTAGAGGTGTAAAATATTCATAAATTTCGACCGGTAGTTATAAAGAAAACCGCATTCAAACACCTCAAAGCTTGTTCTTCCACTAAGGGCCGGTTACTCAATGTCTGATTAGCATTAATCGGAGGTAGAAGCTCCGGTTAAATACAACGACTGCTTTATCGATCACATGGTATATTCATGATGTCGATAACGATGTTTAACCGGCTGGTAGTGATAACCAGACATTGAACAACAATTAGGGCCGGTTGTTCAATGTCTGATTAGCACAAATCGGAGGTAGAAGCTCCAGCTTAGCACAACTACTGCTTTATCGATCACATGTTACATGCATGATGTCGAAATCGTCGATAGTGTAGTGGTAGTGATAACCAGACATTGAACAACCGGCCCTTAGGGCTGTTTTATGTTACCATAGCAACACTATAACCATTAAGGGCCGGTTGTTCAATGTATGATTAGCACAAATCGGAGGTAGAAGCTCCTGTTAGATACAACGACTGCTTTATCTATCACTTGTTATATACATGATGTCGAAATCGTCGATAATGATGTTTAACCGGCAAGTAGTGATAACCAGACATTGAACAACCGGCCCTAAGGGTCCGTTACTCAATGCCTGGTTAACACTAATCTGCGGTTAAACATCATTATCGACGTCTTTGACTCCATGCATATAACACGGTTTCGATAAGGTCGATAACGATGTTTAACCGCAGATTAGTGGTAACCAGACATTGAGTAACCGGCCCTAAGAAGTTCAATTTCCTTTTGTTCTTTTTTTTTACCTCCCTATTATTAGCTCGGGATGTAACTATGTAATATTGATGCGCCTAAAAGATGCAGCGATTTCTATTCTCAAGTTACATACCTGATGACAGTATGAATGGAAATTAGGGAGGATTTAGTTTTTTAAACAATAATTTTCTAATTGCATTGCTTATTCATTCCCAATTAAAAAAAAAAAAATGTATATATTTTACAATATAGACCGCTTAGAGTTAGGAAAACTCCAACGGTTTCCAACACTAGGCATATCACAGTATAAACAGATTTCTAGCTACAAGCATCACTTATCAATGACCATGTCTAACACTTTAATTAGGAATATTACTGCCATTGGAGGACGTGAAGTTATTACTGACTAATTCTAAACGGCAATCGATTTTTCTAAAGAAAGTTTTATAACAGGCGCCAAGTACTAACTGTTTACAAAAACGTTTGGACTGACTGCTAGAACAGACAAATTCTTTTCCCCAATGTCTTTTCAGCGGCCGTATCTTGACCGAGGTTGTGATAGATGATGGACTAGCAATGGACAACATGCATTTCAAATCAATTTTTTTTCCTAAATAAAGGCATTTATTTTCCTATACACAAATAAATCTTGTTTTTTAATAAAGTTATTTTGAAGTTGCATTTTAGTATTAATAGCAAAAATAGTTCAAATACAGTCTAAAATTATTCGCTTTTATCATGCTTTTTTGATGTTATCTCTGCAGCAGTTTCTTCTAAATCGCTGTCATCGGAACTGGTAAAGCCCTCGACTTGCAATTTAGTTTTTGGTGAGGGTACCCGCGGGCATGTAGCTACAGATGATGTGCTAGGTAGATCAGCCGAGGAACTGTTTGCATTCACGTTTGTTGAAGGGCCATCATTACTGCTACGTGGATCTAAGAAAAGCATACATTAAATAATATAAAAAACTTAAACATTCACATTTAACTATTTTATTGGGCTTGAGGCCGCCAATAAAATTGTTGAATATAAATTTTTTCTTAATATAGGTGAGCAATACGCCTTAATATTAGCTACATACCTTCGATTATGGTAACATAATTACGCTCTTGGTGTTTTGTTAAAAAAAATGTGGTACCATAAAATAAGATTGGCAGGATCGCTATAAATCCGCACACAACGAGAAAAAGCATATAATCAAACTCGCGATGACAGCACTTTAAATCCTTAGACCAGTGAGCTCTTGTCCGGTTCATCTGAACAAGCCAATAAATTCATATAACCAGCAATGTTTAAAAATTCTGAACGGGAAAACTCACCGCATCTTGCATGTCAAAGCAAATTTTTCCATTATTCTTTTTATCCAAAGAAATATAAAAACCATTCAAATCTAGATATTCTAGCAGGCAAGCTGAGCATTCTTCTCCTTTGTGCTCCCTGAGACAATCTTCAAAGTCCCGTTTTTTCAAATCGAATACATACGAATGGTTATTGGAGTAACAGTCTGTATATGCGTTTAGAAAAATATATGCATAATTAATTGAACACAATTAGGGTGTTGAAGGATTTAGTCCAAAGTCGTTCCCGTACGCCACGTCCACATAAGGTTTATTAAAGGCGAAAACAGCTGTTCCTATAAAACCTCCAAATCCTGGAGTACGGGAACAGGCTAAATATAAATAATCCTATTTGCACTTGCCATCACAGTAAGCTTTCGTCCACAATCCGACAAGTATAGATTGTGTTGTAGACACGATGTTGATGCGATCCTTATCAAAATATATATCCGTACAATTCTTTTCATTTCGCAGGGCCATGTAAGACAAATGCATATCGGTAAAAGGCTCTTCGCAACCTACACAAAGGCTTACGGGCACCGAATGCTTTGTTGAACATTGAACGAATACGCTTTGATTTTGAGCCAATTCGCGCAAATATTTTTGGCAAATCTAACGAGTCATAAGACCGGGACCACGAAATAAGTTCCAAAAAATGTTAAAACAAAATTTAATGCATCGTTACAAAATGAAATGCAATTAAGAAACTTACATTTTCAGCTAGTCCGCTCGGCGTACTACTTAGAAGTAAAAGTAGGCCTGCTGCAAAACTTGCAGAGTGCATATTCATCTGAACTTCACGTACTTTTTAGGATGTGCGAAATTAAAAAAATAATAGAAAACTTGCAAATTCCAGAATGTTTGTGCATTTGGTTTTGTATTTTTTTTTTTGAGTTGCCTGCATGCCAGTGTTGCCAGACCTTCAGCATGAGAAAACGTCCCTCTTGGTCTGAAAAAAAGTCATTTCCTACCCAAAAAACGTCTTTTTCAAATGAATGTACAAAAAATTGTTCTTATTAAACTTTTATTGTTTACAAAGGTTCATATGTACGTAAGGTATATTTAAATGTCATTTCGACAGAGCACATTTAGAATTCATTGTAAACTGGTTTGAGATCGTTAATATGAAAATGATTTTTTACATACACTTGTGATCAACTGATTAAGTCATCAATATTTTGACCGATTTTGGCTGTTTTTATTTTGTTTATTTAATGTTTATTATTTTTCCAAAAAAGCCAAACTCATATAACAAACAAAATATAAATCCATATTTGAAACTTTGTGCAAAAATTATTAAAAATCTGCAAAGTTTCAGCTATATTTTCAACTTTTTATTCAGATTTTTTTTTAATTTTTTTTTGAGTATGCAGTTTGATAGCTTATTAAATATCAGGGCAATAATGTGCAAGTTTGAAGGGGCTACATAGTCGTGTTGATTTTTAATAATTTTTTTTCTTGTAAACATTTAGTTAGGGGGTCGGTTGTCGAAAATGCTAAATTAAGTTCTGCTAAGAAGGAGCATAACAATATTTCAGCCTTTTTAGCGTTCATTACATTTTCAATGAAGTCTTAAAAAACTCGCCTACTTTTTTCTGACTTTTTGTGCTGCTACAGCTTTTTTGATGCTTTTGCGAGCGTGCGTGTTGCAATAGATCAGCTCTTCCTGATTTGGCTTTTAATGTGCAATTGCAAACATTACAATTAGTCTCGTAACCTCAAGTATTTACACAACCAGCCTTTGTCCAAGAACCCCAAAAAAAAAAATGCCCGCACACTTGGTTTGCATCATCTTTAAGTCATCTGTGTCCAAGGAATAAATATCTTTTGAAGCAGCTGCTGCAAAATACAAAGCTTGTAAAGATTTATTAAGAAAATAATTCAAAACCAGTTCTATTTATAAGATTTAGTAACAGAGAAAAATTACTGGGGAGTTAAAAAACGTAATTTTTTACACAAAAAACGTGCAAACGTCAACAGGATACAAAAAAGTCCAAAAGACGTTAAAAATAACAACCTGGCAACGCTGCTGCATGCATTCAACTGCACAGAGCTGCAACTTTATGTACGTTCGGTGCTATGAATATAAAATTTGCAATAAACCTAAGGCAATACAGATAGTTGATGAAATTCATTCATTTTATTCGCGTACTATTTTTTTCATCTATATTCATTGTTTTATCATACATTTTGTTTGCGCACATATTTGCGCATCGAATTTGCCTCGTCAATTTACGAGGGGCTCGTAAATAGAGCTCCGAGCTCCATACAAATTTTGACAGTTCTTTTACGAGGTTTACGAATCTTTTACGAGTTTAATGAAAATTGTGTCAATCGCTTAAAATAAATTTGCGGCATAGTATTATGCGCAGTAGTAAAGACAATAGACATACGTTGAGTTTTGTCGTTGGCGTGGGAATAATAATAATAATAGATTGGCGCTTACACATATGTTAGTGTTTGGCCGAGTTTCTCCTCCGATTTGTGGCGTGCGCCTTGATGTTGTCACACAAAAGGGAGGGACTCCGAACTGCGATTGTATTTTTATCGCAATCTGTTTTTCATTGCAGAAATACAATCGGAGGTTTGCCATAGCCTACCGAGGGGCGACCGCTGTCAAGAAAAAACCTTTTTTCTAAATTTGCGATGTTGCCTTGACAGGGCTTGAACGCAGGCCCTGGGGAGTGGAAGTGCGTACTGCTTACCACTACACTACAGCGGCCGCATGGGAATAGTACTAAAAGTATAGCCTCTTCACATTACTCGGTATGACATCGGATCGACATTTTTTCCTCGGTATTTTCGGCTTACCGAAACGATTCTGCGTTGATTTGATCTGCAGACTTGTCGGAATACTTTCGGTATGTAATTTGTAGAAAAAAAATTAAAAAAGCCGGAAAGCACGAAATCAAATTTGAAAATTTCATAAATCATATAACGAAAATATCCTCTGTCGAAGACAAAGACGTTATAGCTTATATTTATTTGGTATAAGTTAAGAATCCGAACATTGCAAAAACTAAAAAAATAGGTACTAGTGTTGATAGAGGTTTTTGAGACAAATACAACAGTATACTTTTTTTGAGGCAGAAACAACAGCTCAAGCAGTTATGAAAGGTCAAAGGTCAAATGTAGCGCTTTTTTCAAACCCATATATCTCGAAAGGCATCGCACCGATTCTAAAAAGTTTGATGTCATTAAATAGGAATGTGAGTGGCTTTAATTACATGTATAAACGGTATATATAACTTCTTAAGTTTTAGCAAAAATCCCTGCGTTGCCGGCCTTCGGCCACGCTTAGGGATTATAACCCTCACTAAGCAGAATTCTCCTTTTTGTGTTGCCGAAGAAGAGGGGCGCAACACCTTTTGCACAGAACAAATTCTGCGTTGGCGGCCTTCGGCAGCGCTTAGGGATTATAACCCTTACTAAGGATTGTAACCCTTACTAAGAAAAAGGTTTTGCGCAAAAATGCTGTGGATAGCGTAGCTGGCATTGGTCCGACCAGAGTTATTTTTTGAAATACTCCGAATTGCGAGGATTAAACACAACATTTTATATATTAAACGAAAGCTTGAGTTGTGCATTGAGTTATAAGACTTTTAACTGTAATTAATCGGCACTTTTAAAGAAAAATGTGTTTGTTTAAAATTGTTTGTAATTTTTTTTTTACATAAATTGGATTTTTGCTAAAACTTAAGAAGTTATATATACCGTTTATACATTTAATTAAAGCCACTCACATTCCTACATTTGACCTTTAAACACTAAAAATATCTATCCGATATCGTACCAGGTAATGTGAAAGCGCTCTTATGGTCTAATTATGCAAACTTAGCATAACTTCGCACAACTTCGCATAAAATTCAACCTGTATGTATATGTATTTTGTATGTACTTTGTATGTATTCCATTACCCATAAATTAGCAGAACTTTTAAAAACTTAGCGATCTGTTGAATTTAGATTTTGCTTCACATATTCTTAAGTTACATTTCGTTTGCACTTGTACGAATGGTTGTGTGAAGTATGCATAATCAGACCTTTACATGGCTACAAAAATTATCACGTTAATCACCCTGTTTCATTTCTATCGTTCCTACAAACAGTGCTGCTTGTTTGTATTTCTTCGCCTAGTCCAATTTGATGTGCATTTTTTACCATTGCAAAATACGACGCCGATAAAAGTGGATGACGGTGGAGTTGGCCAAGTACGTGATGTATTATTTTCTGAATAGTGTTTGAAAAGAAAATAATAAGATGTGTATAATAATGTTGCAGTGAAAAGTTAGACCATAAAGTGATCGAAAATTTATTTGATATAAAGAAAGCAAATACAAATTTTTGAATATTTTGCACAATTGTTCGTTCGCTTCTAGTGACTACCGTGCTCGTTTATGTGCATATGAGTGTTTGTCGCGCTGGGATTGAAGCCGGAAAAGTATGTGTAGAGTGAAGATACATATATGGTATATGCAAAATAAACAATTTTTTTTTTAAAGAAATGAGTTGCAAGTGAATGGAAAAGTACACATTTTATATAAAAAGATATTAAGTGCATAGAAATACAATTTCCGAGCGGAAAATTTGTAATTTGTAATTTACAAGCTCAGACGAACCGCCCGCCACTCCTTCGCAGAAAAATTTTCTATTTTCTGCATTCGCGGTTCTGCAAAGTTTCGATTTGAAATATATTCCCACTGGAGCTCAAGTATATGTACATACATATATACACAGCTGCTGGTGGAGCGTGGAGCCGAGTGAGTGCTTTCGTGTATGTGTACGTTGGGGCTGCAAACAAGGAAGCCGAACAGTGAGTAACACTGAGCTGCGGCTAGTTTAGGGAGTTATTTGTCTGCAAATAATCAAAACGGAATCCTTATGCAGCGCCTGCAAAGGAATAGTAAATACAGTGAAAATATTGAGGTACTTCAGTAAAAATAAATGCTTTGTGAATGCTGCAATATCAGTAGTGAGTGAACAATTGTGCTCAACTTCGATTAAATCCAGATAAAGCAATGCAAATGCGGGCAGCAGCTTCAAAAAAAATTCATTAATCCTGGGCGTATATTTATTTTATATCTGAGGTAAGTTTTCAAATAATTGGCAGTTATGCACTCATTCTGAAAATATTTTGTACATTGTTTGAATTGGTATCTACTATTTGCCACGCCTGTGTAATACCCCCCCTCCTACTACTTTCATTCATTAAGTGCGCTACCCCTCTGCTGTTCTGTTATCTATGCACTTTTAAAGCAAAAACTTTGTTCGCAGTGTTTCCACAACTTCTTGTAGCAATCGATGCTGCCTGCGGTGGTATTCAGAATTTCTGTTCTGTATGTGTTTTGATTTTTGTCTTACATTTTTTTGTGAATCGACTTGTATACATATCCGCCCCAAATGGGCGGTTTTATATATAAATGAGGGAGCATTTTGTGTAGCAGCCTTATTAGAAAATTTCCTTAATGATAAACAGTTATGCGCAAACTCCTTTCATAGAGTCCTCTCCAGCATTGAAAATCTCGTTGAACGTGCATACAAACAAACATTTATGTACATAAAAATATACATATGTATGCATTTGTCAATATAAAACAAGACGTGAAATCCTTGCAAAAAATTAACAAGAATTTTTTAGGCAAAAAATACAATCGGAACTAAATCTAATTAGTATTCGACCACCCTTAGGATATGTACCATCTTTCCGATGAAAACTTGTCTACTTTTTTAACCGACTTCAAAAAAGGATAACCTCAATTCCTCGAAATATTTTTTTTTATGCATATTACCGCATAAGTTTTAGGATTCTAGGGAGTATCGATTTTTTCGAAACTGGAATGTATGTATATCGAAAGATATGTATATGGA